GTGTGTGTGTGCGTCATCAGTATGCACAGATATTTTACAAATTTGTCTCCATACTGTGTTTACATTGTTTTTCGTTTGACAGTGTATATCTACATTTGTTCATATAGCTATGTATCAAGTGTGTGTGTGTGTGTGTGTGTGTGTGTGTGTGTGTGTGTGTACAACAAGCCCTCCGTCAGTCTGATTACACAGCTGTAGCAGACAGACAACGAGCTCCATTCATACAGTACTGCAGGCTCCAGTTTCACCTGACCAGGAGTCTGTCTGGGTGTGTTTGTGTGTGTGTGTATGTGTGTGTGTGTGTGTGTGTGTCCTGTTTTTGAGTGCTTGAAAGCAAGAGTAACAGCAAGAGACAGGGAGTGGTGAGAGAATTAGAGAAATTGCTCCAGAGGAAGAAGGGATGGAGTGAGAACAAGATAAGGAAGTAAAAGAAAAGTTTGTTGAAACTTTGAAGACAGTTGTTACATTGAAAGCAGTTTTCCTCTGGTCAGTCGTTGTGCCTGCATCTCTGGCCAGTGAAATATTATTCTTATCCTTTGTTAAACACTCGCTCCCCTCTTGTTCTGAACACACACTGAGAACTGAGCTGACCTCACACTGTTGACCCTAATTACAGAGAAGTGTGTTTCTCTAGAGGAAGAGGCCAACATCTCTCTCCCCCACTGGATCTCTCCTCTCCCTCTCTCAGTCCTCCTCTCTTTCCATGTTCTCTTAGTATTTCACATTGTTTGTTCTCTCGGAAACATGTTTTCTCAAACCTTTACCCTCTGTATTTATTTGTTTATTCCTCTCCATGAAACAATGTTGTATTTTTAATCTAAATACAGTAAAACACCTTTTTCTCTCCTATCATATTAACCTGTTAAAATGCTGTACATATACACAAAGAAAGAAGTGGGCCAGATACTTTGTAGAGCCGTTATCAGAACAATCTGGACTTTCTTTGGAGTTTGCCTTTCTCAAAATTACAATGTAGCAGGAGACTCTGCGGTCAGACGGCTTCGTAACAACACCAACATTTTTGGCAAGTTCAGGTGATAGGGGTGGCCATGCAAACAGAGGTGGGACCAAACATATTAATTCCAGTGCGGAGATAACTAGTTTCTTTTACACCACATCACTACGCTCAACTAACGCTCTCTTGACATCTTCGTTAGCATTTACTATAGTGTGGCATCGCTTCTCATCCTTGTTTTTTTTTGCATCTGTCGTATGTTAGAAACGGCATCAATACATCATCTCGCTCACTGTGAATCCTGCGGAGCGTCTCATGCTGTGTTCTCACATTGACTCATTTATTTGTTCTCTGGAGTTTTCATTAGGAGACTGGTCACAGAAAGTCCGGAGCCTCTCACTCTGACGGCGTTCTCACATACAGCCCCTCTGGAGAATGTCTGGAGATAATCTGGAGTTCAGTGCATTCTGAAAGCACCTTAGATATATGTTTGAGGTGTGTGATATGCCTGATGGTTTCTGACATAAAGACATGTAATGAACACATCATTATTCACACACCCACCAGAAACAGAAACACAGACGCAGTAAACAGTTGAAAGTTCTCCCAGACAATTAGTCTGACCCCAGACTGTGACAGAGGCGTCACTGTACAGCCAGAACCCTGTTTAAACTTACTGAGGTGATGGATTGTGCGTTTACGTTGTCATGGGAGCACACAATTTGATACTTTCTCTGTCATCCATTAACAATCAACCAGTATGAGAAAGAAGAGAGGCGCATTGATAATAATCAAATCATAGTCAGAAGGTACATTTTTCACAGCAAATGAAAGAATCAGAGGCTTGCTTGTCTGTGAGTCCATTATCATGAACATCTTTTCCAGCAGCTCTCACTAACCTGAGGCGTGTATCGTTTGACAGCCGTGAGCTCCTGACTCTGTCTCCAGCTCTTCTCTGATTGGTCAGAGGGGTGAGGCTCACTCAGCAACTATCAGGCTGTTCAGTGAGTCTGGGTCACAGAGGCTTTTGACAATACTTCTCTACCTAACATATACCTGATATATATGTCACATATTTTAGATATAAACATTTAAAATATTACATACTGTAGCTCTCACTATTAAGTGAGACTTGCAGCTCAATGGGACTCATACATCCACCATGGCCCAACAGACTCCCAAAATCAAGTGTTTAAATCTTTCAACACAAGCTTAAAAACCATCTCTTAAACCTGGCTTTTGATTAAGTTTGGTTTATACACATTATTGTATTTTTTTAAACATTTATTATCTGAATCAATATTAAAAGGAAATGGCCCCTCAACCTCGCTGGCTTCCACAGTGACATTAACGTATGTGGACGTTTTGAAGACAGTCTGACTCCAGAAATCTGTCTGTATCTGGAGGAACATGTCGGACAAAACGTCAAAGCTGATACATTGTTCTATTTGATCTAATAGTGACCAAAGGCATTCCTTTGCTATTACACTGGGCTCTGTTGTGTATCTAATGGTCGTCTACTGTTCATGGCTCTGTGTTCAGTCAAAGGCTCTCAGCCATTAACTTTATTAAAGTTTCCTGGATGCTTGAACTCCGTAGACATATTCAAAACTAAAAGAGGAAGATAAACCAAACCTGTGTTTCTATCCAATCTTTTACAGCAGGGAATAACATAACCTACAGTGTGACCACACTGTTCTAATTCAATAACTCGTGATGACCCATGACTGGCTCATGATATATTAAAGAAACAGTAAATACATATCATGGTGGAAAAATACTTCCTATCATATTTTTCCTATGATTGTGATTTACCATTACATAACATTTCATTTAAAATGGTTTAGTGGAAACGTATATGTTAGGCAGACAGATAAAGATGGACAGCAGAAGGAGCAGGGGGACAGATAATGGCTGAAATAATAAATTAGCAGATCGGGTTAATCATCTCTAGAATGGAAGGATAAAGAAAGAAAAGATGAAAAAAGAAATCCACAGAGGAACAATACAGCTTTACAAGATACAAGGGCCCGACCTAAAACGACCTGCATTTCACTCGCTGTTTCTTCTAATGAGTCAGTAGTAGGTCAAAGGTTAACCAGTGAACCCTTCAGCAGCTACACACACGTACATACCACACACAGAATGAGGAAATGTGGCTGCTGGCATAATTCACCTCCATTGCTCTCTTCCTTCCTCTCTGATCTTTTCAAGGTCTCTCAAGCATATTTTCTCTTCTTACCTTTTCTTTTCCTCCTGCTGTCCTTCTCTCTTGTCACATCAAAGAATTGACTTTGCTCTGCTGACTCCCTCACCTTTGTTTGCACTCTGAAACACACACACACACACACACACACACACACACACACACACTTAGAACTTAAAATAACCAAACTAATGGGAGTTGGATTGGGGAGGAGGGGGGCACAGTGGGGAGCCTAAGAAAAGAATTGAAGGAAAAACTGGCATGGTTATGTTTTCAAAGGAACATGTTGGTGCTTGAAACTGTGAAGTTGAGGTTGTGTTTATAGGTGTGTGTCTTCACCCATGTTGTAAATGTGTGTGTCAGACTGTGTCAGGGTGAAGTTGAAGATAGAGTGTGTGTACCTCTTCTTTCATGAGAAACAGAGGTCTCCTGTGTTTTTCAGTGGCTAAATCAGTCCATTGATTGGTTGAACTCCTTTTCATGCTTACACACACACACACACACACACGTGTTTGTACATCTATCTCAGTGAGGACGCTCATTGGCATAATGAATTCCCTAGCCTCTTACCCTAACCTTAACCATCACAACAAAATGCCTAACCCAACCTTAACCTAAACCTAATTTTAGCCCTAACCCTAAAACAAAGTCTTAACCCTGAAACAGCCCATTAAAAGTGGGTCAGAAAGTGGGGACTGGCCAAAATGTCCTCACTGTAGGTTGTAGGGTCAAAAAATGGTCCTCACAAAGATATGTGTACAAGTACACACACAACCTTCAGTGGTTTAGAACAAAGGGCTGCTTTCCAGCATTTGAAACACACCAGGAGTTAAGTGTTTGGGTTGTTTTAGGTGTGTGTGTGTTTTTGTCGGGACTAATGAGCCACAATTCCTGTGCCTGTGTCAATGCTTTCACAAGCTGGTCTTTCTGTCGCTCACCCTTTGAAAACAGAAGGAAGTAAAGAAGATTGAAAAAAAAATCAAAGGATCCAGAACAAGACAATCCATAATCTAGAGCAATAGATAAATACAATTCAAATAAATGGAGAGGAAATTGCCCTTTTCCTCTGATTAACCCAAATCCGCTCCATTTTGGATCAACTTGGATTAGGAATAATCATCAGACTCTAAACTGTCCAATTCATAGAGGTACTCATGGGTGCTTGTTCATCATCCCATCATCTGTACCTGATGGACAGATTCATTTTTAAACCTCCAGTGACACCCAGGGATCCAGATGTATTTGTAACTTGATCGACAGACAGATGTTACTGTGGTCCGTCAGGGGAAAAGAGGACAGGAAAAAAGGAGGGATAGTTATATAAGATGTGAGAGCAAAGTGTTTTCAATGGTTTGTAAAGACAGCAAGATTGTATTTCATCGTAATGACAACGAAAAGCCAAGAGCCAAAAATACAAGTTGTAGTGTTTATCATGGTGATGATCATAGTGATAACCAGGATGTCCACGTTCTTATCACTTATTAGATAGTAGGACAAGGGGCCATCTTCCCCAAAGCCAGATGTTGCGATCACGCCTCTAGCTAGAAAGCAATTGAGTACCACCCAGTCTGGTAATGTACAATAAATCTCCAGAGAGCCAGATCTCTGTAACCAGACTCCAAGACTGACAGATGTTCCTGTGGGTCAATAACCTGCTGTCTTCATTAGAGCAGGAGGCGAAGGAGAGAGATGGATAGTGATTCTGGAAATTGTTGTTGTAAAAGAAAATAAAGCAGGATGAGATTTACAAAAGTAATATGTATAGTATTAGTAACTGCAAAGATGCAAACAGACATAAATTTATGGTCAATCGCTCCGCTCAAGTTAACATATTTGAAACTGAGCAAAAGATTTGTGCGATGCGATGCCGCAAAAGCTGATCAGCGTTGAAAATGAAACTCACCAGAGACAGGTCCTGGCACCGACTTGAGATAGCAGGTCATCAATCTGGTCACTGATCAGCCTCAGATAGCACTGGGCATGAAAATTGTCCTGGAGAAAACAATGAAATGCCACCGAGCTGCGTACGTCTCCAGATGAGCAACATAGAAATCGTTATCTCAGCCAGTAGTCCCCCTCTTCTCTTTCCTACTTGTGTTGTTTGTGAGAGTGCTGTGAGTAACACAGATGATCATACAGCAAAAACTCTGACGAGTAACGCATACGTGGAAATTCACTTTCGGCGTTTGATGTGAAAGCAGTATAATAATTAAATGACACCAGTTTACACTTGACATCCATTGTTTCATAATGATACGGACAAGACTTTAAAATGACAAATTATAATGAAGAGAGAATAGAAACCACTTTAACGTATGTTAAAAATCCTCAAAGTAGCATTCTACATGCTAGTTTTTACAAAGATTTCAATCATGAATCAGTCAACATATGCCTGTTGCTGCTTTTTTGTAGTTTGTAAGGTAACAAAGCAGTGAGCCTCCCCCCATTTAATTAGTTTTCCTCTAAGCTCACAGGCACTTATTATACTTTTTATGTCCTCTTACCCTTAGAAGACACACACACACACATATACACACACACATTGCATTGCAGGACACAAAGGCTGTCACATCAGTTCGTTGGAGGTGGAGCTGAGTGTTGTCACAGGCAGACAGAGGGAGAGCAGCTATGTGAGGAATGTTGAGTTTTGTTAGGGAAATCTTTTCCTCTAGATCTTTCGGGTTAATTTACTTCAGTTGTATTGTCATGTAGATGACAATGGATAAGTGAATTCTACATGTGGTGTTTTCTTTCAGGATAAACACCATTAGTTCCTATCTTAGAATCAGTAATTGAAAAAATAACATTTCTGCTTTCCCCATGCAAGACTGGAGTGTGTACAAATCTCTGCAGCTGTATTTGTTTCATGCATGTGGTTGACAAAAAGCTTTTTTTCTTTTTTCATTGGTAAACTGACATTGTGTGTGTGTGTGTGTGTTTGTGTGTGTGTGTGTGTGTGTGTCTTTGTCTTTCAGTCTGACTGTGTGAACTACGTGAAGATCGTGCACCACTATAACCGTACCCATCTGTACGCCTGTGGAACTGGAGCCTTCCACCCTACCTGTGCCTTTGTAGAGGTGGGACACAGGATGGAGGTGAGGAACACACTCTACAAGTTAAAGCACACACACACACACATACATACACATCCTCCTGAACTGCGGTCTTCCATTCTTATTCTTTGTTAAAATAGAGAGACATATAGAGATGCTTTAAACATCTCAACCACCATTTGTTTTTGATAATGTCATTACATAGCTATGATCCACCAGTTTATTCGGGACACAGCTAAAATAATGTAATAGAATAAAGCAGCCCTCTTTATCACATATTAAAAACAGAGTATTGAAACTACTGAAATTAGTAGTACAAGTAGAATTTATTGAAGAAACTTACATTAGTCAGCTATTAGTCAAGGTATTTAAATTACTACTTCCTTCATTTGCTCAACAATAACACACACACACACACACACACTGCATTCAGATGCAGGAACATGTGATCCTCCTGTCCACTGCCAACCAAACTGCCAACTTTCTGTTCTTTTTAAGTGAGAACATCATCCAAACAATTTATAAAGAGAGATGTTGACATTACTCATGCTCGGAAAATCTTCATATGACAAACTGAATAAAGCTGGAGTCTTTGGCAAAGTTTTGGCAAAAAGGGGACACAAATCACACCTCCTTGTTTCAAACCGTGTCCCTCATGTTGCCAAAATCACAAACCTGACATCTCAAACCAAACCTTTTCTCTTCACTCTCCATCAGGACCATGTGTTCAGGATCGACCCCTCTAAGGTAGAGGACGGGAAAGGGAAGAGTCCGTATGATCCTCGCCACAACGCTGCCTCTGTGCTCATTGGTAACTAAACCCATGTGCATCAATTTGAGTTAATTTCCCTTTAATTACAGGTTTTTGCTTCAAATTTGTCATAACTGATTTATTTTTATCCCATTCCAAAAATGTGTTTAAACAACTCCTGTCCCCATCAAAGCTCTCATGACCGATCATTGAGTTATTGATTGATTCTGTCTCCTAGGCGATGAGCTATATGCTGGCGTTGCCACAGACTTAATGGGGCGTGACTTCACCATCTTCAGAAGCCTGGGGAGACGCCCCTCCATCCGCACAGAGCAGCATGACTCACGCTGGCTCAACGGTATGTGTTTGTGTGTTTTGGGTTTAAAAAAATATCAAGTGTCACACTTCAGTTCACTTGTTCCACTGAATGTGGTCATTACTTTTCAGAGAAAATACCTGTATTACAGTAGATGACATTGTTCCTCTCTTTTTATTCGTACCAGAACCAAAGTTTATTGGTTCCTTTTGGGTCCCGGAGAGTGAAAACCCTGATGATGACAAGGTGTTTTTCTTCTTCCGTGAGACGGCGGTTGAGGCCCAGGGACTTGGAAAATCCACCTACTCCCGCATCGGACAACTCTGCAGGGTGAGAAGTTATACATGATGTGGGCATGGAAAACAAAAAGCCAGCATTATTCTCCAGGTCCATTCAACCTGGCTCTTTTACGGATACCCTAACAAAATTATTTCCTCTTCTGTTGAAAAAGGTTAACTATAGGAATGCTCTTTGGCTTTAAACTACAAGTAGCTGGTACATCATTAAAAACTGCTGCAAAAGACTTTACTGTCTTATTTCACACTACAACTAAATTAGATGTAATATCCTGAAAGACTCTTGACCATTTCAGAACGACATGGGCGGTCAGCGGAGTCTGGTGAACAAGTGGACGACATTCCTCAAGACCCGTCTGATCTGCTCGGTGCCAGGAGCCGATGGCAGCGACACGTACTTTGATGAGCTGCGTAAGTTTACTGTCCACACAGATAATTGTCAGCATTGACCCATTCATGACTTTAATGATGTCAGGCTGTATGTTGTAACATCAAAGTTTGTGTATTTTTGATCTTGAACGCAGCTCATTTATGGCCTCACTCAGACCTCAAGTGGTTTATCTCAGTGACTGTCTTATTGCAGATTCTCCAGAAGTTCAAAAAAGCAAAACAAAGAGTTTTGCTAATTTTCCATCTTCCACTGTCAGTTGGATTTTTACACAAAAGAATTCTGTGTGCAAAGGGGGAGAAAGTGAAGGACAGCATAATGAACCAGGATTTGTAACTTCAGTTGTAGATTACAATTCAGAACCACATTCCTGCAGACTTGGAGAAAGTATGAGTGAGATCAATTGGTAATCGATTCTGCTCTCATTCATTTCTGCTGTGAATTCAAAGTAAGTTGCAGGTTCGTCTCTGCTGAGTCGTCAAACAAAGAGAAATAATGTGTTTCCTATCTTCCTATGAATGGATTGTAGGTAAAATACATATTTTATGATATAGAGAAAACTTACTCTAAACTCACAGTGATTCTTCTATAAATATCTGGTGCTGGTTTATTTGTGTATTTTAGTGAAAAGGTGTGAGAAGTCCTTATGCCCCTGTCAACACTAATAAACCTTTTTTTATTTGGGCCTTTCATTCACACACACACAAAACGTTTAAGTCACATTGTGTGTGTTTTTTGGGGAATGCTGTTGTATTTCACAGATCGTTGATGGAGACTTCATTGCCAACTACTGGCCCAGCATGCTTGTTTATTTACCACATATTAAAAAGTCTCACCTGTAAAGTAAAATTCAAAACCTGTGCCAAAATGTTTAGCTTTAAATGCAGTTATAAAATCCTGATAATCAAAAGATGTATCATCAAACAGACCTCCTCTCATGTGCTTTGCATAGCAGCCGCAGCAATGTCAGCTCTCGACATGTTATTGATTTATCTGTGATTCTTGGTGCATTATCTCATGACGCAGTGAAAGGTGAACTAGTGGAAAAATGTGTCCTAACTCTCCCCCTACCTCAGGCTTCATGTGTCCATCACAGCCCCTCACATGAACAATGAGTCTGTTATCTTGACCAGGAGGTTTCTGACCACACCTGAGGCCAGATCTATTTTCCCTGTGAAAATATGTGTGCTGACCTGAACCATTACAGAAATACCTGCATCATGTTACCCTGTGATGAATGATTCCAAACTGCAGTGTTTTCTTCATTATAGGCAGACTCAGAAATACATCTTCTTTGTGGCAGACCCCAGAATGAAAAACATTACAGAAATTGTTCAGTGGGTCTAAATCTCATTAGAATTTGTTTAACATACCACTGCACAAAGCAGTCATGGATTTTGTTCTATGTCGCGACCCTGTGTTATCAGTGAATTGTCTCTTTTAAATAGTTAGACATGACCACAGGGCTTTGTTTTTCTTTCTCTCAACCTTTGACCTCTGGACTACAACAACCTGACCTGTGTGTGTGTGTGTGTGTGTGTGTGTCCGTCCACAGGCGATGTGTTCCTGCTGCAGACGAGGGACAGAAAGAATCCTCTGGTGTACACTGTCTTCTCTACTTCCAGGTCAGAGTCCATTCATATTGTTTGTGTGCTGGTACAAAAGAGAATGAGAACGGAGGAAAAGTCATATTGTGTGTGTGTGTGTTTTGATGTATCTAACCCAGCTCCCCCCTGTTCCCCAGCAGCAGTGTATTTAAAGGCTCAGCTGTGTGCCTCTACTCCATGAATGACATCCGGAGGGCCTTCCTGGGGCCCTTTGCTCACAAAGAGGGGCCCAACTACCAGTGGGTCCCCTTCCAGGGAAAAGTCCCCTATCCCCGCCCAGGAATGGTATGTCAATGACAGTAACGACCCATCAATAGATAAAAGCCAGGAGTTTTTATTCACAATGAAAGTACATGGACAGAGGTTTTGTACTTTTAGTACTTGTGCCTTCATGGATATTTCCATTTTATGGTACTAGATGGCTGGAAAACATTGTCCTTATTACCCTTTTACATAACATTGGACAGCTATCGTTAACTGATTACCCTTATTGAGACTCTACTTAGAAAATATATTATTAAATATGGTTCGCTACTAAAAGTAAAAATTTACTCTATATTGAACTTTTAACACTAATTGCTTACATGCTCACATGATATGATAATAATAGGGCAGTTGTGGCTCAGAAGGTCCTTGTCCTCGTCCTCTGACCCGAAGGTTTGCGGTTTGATCCCTGTCTCTGCCATTCCGCATGCCGAAGTTTCCTTGGACAAGACACTGAAGCCCAAATTGCCCCTGAAGGCTGTGCTGACGTTGTATGAATGATGTGTGATAGAGAAAGTGCTGCACGTAGAAGCGCTGTATGAATGTGTGTGTGAATGGGTGGTTGGCAGAAATGTAGTGTAAAGTGGTCATCAAGACTAGAAAAGCTCTATATAAATGCAGACCATTTATTAGTCCTCTGCATAATGAAGACTTTAAATCTACACACGCGACTATTGTAATTGCTTTGTTTGTTTTCTGTGCTTTTATAGAGAAAGTTAAGTCTTGGATGCATGATGTTCTAATTCCAATTAATAATGTTAAGTCTTCACATTTAATGGAGTCATTTATGGTAAAGTCTTAAGGAATAGATGTGAATACTTCTGCACCTCATGTTTCTGATATTTCCCCCTGGGCAGTGAACCACTTTATATTCACATCTCAGTGGGGAACCCACTCTGTCCACTATGAAAATACTAAGTTGTATTATGAATACATGAATCCCAATGTCTTAGTGATGTATAATTGTGGCGCTTCATACAGTTGCAATTCTCTGCATTAGTCCTACTTTCCTCCACAAGCCCTCCGCAATCCTCCCGATCAATAAGTGCTTATTAGGGCTCTTACATTCTTCTAAGCACACAAGCGTAGCGTCAGCAGGATTTGTTATGCGGCGCTTCAGCTGTTACTGCCACAGCAGAACAATCCCCATTGTATGACTGCAGAATAGTAATTGTACTTGGCCTACAGTAAACCCTGGCTCACACCACCGTCACCTCACTGTGTTGTAAAATCAGCAGAACAAATCAAATTAAAAGAAAAACCATCCTGCTTACAAGAGAATTATGCTAAACTGCCTTTAAAGCAGTTGGTGTTTAAAATGCATAAACCAAAAAAAAAAAAAAAATCTTGAATACTGCAGGACAAAAACCACTAATACATCATTATGTTAAACAGGAAAAAGGAAAATATCGTAATTAAACGTTAACAAAATACTGCAGGATGCTGCAGAATATTGCAGTAAAATCTTGGTTCCCTGGAATAAAAGTTCAGGACTGGAATTTTAATTAGAGGGTAAAGTTGGACTCTGACCTGGAGAAAATCTCTCTCACGTCCCTGTGACCCATCACGCCATAATCACCTCTCTGTGGCCTGCTGAACTGTGGCTTTGTGTTCTCTGGGCCAACTGGCATTTTATTGCATGAAACAAATTCACTCCTCAGATAAGTGTCATTATGGAATACTTGAGTCTCACAGTCAGTCCTGTGTTGCAGAGCTACAACAAGTCCTTTACAGCTATTACATCTGTGTACTGTACAGCAGCTAAATCCTTCAATAAATATAAATGAACATTCACACATTCACAGAGCAAAGATCCCAATAGCAGATCAAATAGTTATGTACCTGTCATGTCACATTTAATCCAGATTAATCAAATCAATTCACCTTACAAATTAAACTTTACTTTATTTCATCTCTTTAGTGTCCAAGCAAGACATTTGGGAGCTTTGAATCCACCAAGGGTTTCCCGGACGATGTGATACAGTTTGCCCGTCACCACCCCCTGATGTATAACCCCGTCTACCCTATGAGCCGACGGCCCATCTTCGTCAGGACCAACGTGGACTACAGCTTCACACAGATTGCTGTGGACAGAGTCAGTGCCGCTGACGGACAGTATGATGTCATGTTTATTGGCACAGGTGAATGACTTGGTTTCAAGATCTTAATCTTAACATTCAAACTTGTAAACAACGAGACAACACATTAAAACAATTTGCATGTGTTATTCCAGACAAAGGGACCGTACTCAAGGTCATCAACGTCCCCAAGGAAAGCTGGAACAATATGGAGGAGCTTCTGCTGGAAGAGCTGGAGGTCTTCAAGGTAAGAAAACTACAATAACCTTTTCTTTACAGTATATCTCTTGTAGATATAAGCATTCTCTGACAGCAGTGTATAGTGATATATACAAATGATAGATAGATACATTCAACTGCGGTAATTGATCTGCTGTTGTCTCCTCCGCTCTTCAGGATGCATCATCTATCATCAACATGCAGATCTCCTCAAAACGGGTACGTTTGTTGAAATTTAAAATTCAATCGCAACCTATTGTGAATTTCTAATACTGCACATACAGAGTCACCATGCAGCAAAATGATGTCACATGCACAGAGAACTGGATTGTTGGATTTAAACTGGATTTTAAAACGTGTCCCTCCTCTGTCCCTTCACAGCAACAGCTGTATGTGGGCTCGGACACAGGCATCGCCCAGGTCCCCCTTCACCGCTGCAGTGTGTATGGGAAGGCCTGCGCTGAGTGCTGCCTGGCCAGAGACCCTTACTGCGCCTGGGACGGAACATCCTGCACTCGCTATCTGCCAAACACCAAAAGGTCTGTGACATGTACACACTGATGACACACCATTCTTTACTTTGAGAATCTGCAAACATACTTTTTCTATTCCTGATCCTAAAGTAGATTGTGAAACTCTAATCTAACATTATTTTACAGACGTTTCCGTCGCCAGGACGTGAGGAATGGAGACCCCAACACTCTCTGCTCTGGAGGTAAGGTTTACAGCCCTTTTTTTTACCAAAGTACGATATGATTAACATCTCTTATGTCATCAAGGTTTAGCTTAATATGTTCAGATGTTCAAGATGTGAAATATCTTTAAAATTAAACTTTAAATCTTTAAAATGTATTTAAAGTGTTTTTTTTTGTGATAACATTTTAGGAGCATACCAGTAATTCTAAATTTTCCTCAGCAGGCACAGTATTGTGTGGAATAAAGTGATGATGAACTATACTAATGTGATGAATAGTAATAGCTGAACAGACAATGAAATCAGGCCTAATCATATATATAGCACATAGCCTTTTATACTCATATTCTTCATATACCTGCCTATTTATTCATAAACGTATATATGCATATATATTTGTATATTTCAATATCTCCTTACCCTTATGTAAGATACAGTCTACGTTCTCTTTTTTATTATCTACCTCATTCTGAGTTAAATGGGTTGTAATGAGAGAATTTCCCCGGCATGCGATCAATACAGTTTTATCTTATCTCTAAGAAAATCAAACAAATGCCATCATCCCATCTTTTTAATTTTGATATGCTTCTATTATGAGTCTATTACTTATTCAAATGAAAAGCTCTGGAAGTTTTGATTCCTCTCTCATTGAGCGGTGCTGCTGCTGCAGGTCGACCAGTGTTGAATTGCAGTATAGGTATGTTCAATAAATAAGAATAAAGCCTCACTCTGCTCCTGATCTGACTCACTGAGACGTCTCACTGTCCCTGTGCCAAAAAAAAAAAAATCTTTCTTCCCTTCACCTCCGCTGACCCCCTGTCCACCCAGACCACAATAGTGGCATTCTGCTGCTATCTGTCTTTCTGCCACATAACTGAAGCAGGCTAATCGCTCAAACTGAAGGAGCTCCTGGGTAATAAGATTACATCATGTGGCATGCGAGGTCACGTTGTGTAAAGCTAATGAAGGTCAGAGTAATTGTCTCTGATGAGTGTGGCATTGCCCCAAAGCGCCGATCAGGAATCTGTTTGGCTCTTTTCATTCCATTGTTTCTCCAGAAACTTTATTTTATTCTTCCTGATCCACTTCTGGTCTAGAAATGTCAGAATGCACGCGCCCCCACTATAATGAAAACTAATCAGATTTTGAATACAAACACTGTTTTCAATATGAGTGTTGAGGTTTTAGTGTCAGCACAATAAAAGTCCTTGTTTGATATCACACATCAAACATGTGATACAAACGCACCCCCATCAGTGCAGGGTGCTGTCATTATGTGTGAGTGAGCTGAACTTTGCCATCAGTAACCTCACAGAGGCCGTCATTATCCTCAGTGTTGACTAATATACTGACAAACAATGTGTGTTTTTGTTGTGATGCCAGACCATAATTTGCATCATAGATTTCCCTTCAAGACTTACTAATTATAGATCAGGGGTTACTTAGATATCACACATTATCACCTCAGTTTGTTTATTCACCTTTCTTTGTCCATCCTGATTGTCCTGTCCTGTCCCCTTCGTTTTTTTTTAAGCTCATGCCCCGAGTCTCTGCAGACCCATAATATCTTTGTCTCTGCTGCCCCCTGCAGACCACCACAAGCACCGCGTGGCAGAGAAGAAGTTGTATGGAGTTGAGGGAAGCAGCACTTTCTTGGAGTGTATCCCCAAATCCCTTCAGGCCAAAGTTACCTGGACCTTCCAGAAACATCCACAGAACCCACGAGAAGAGGTGAGAGAGTGAAGAGAGGTCATAGTTCTGTTCTAAGATGTTACAGTATTGTGTATATGGGGCCTAGATCCCTTAAGATCCCTCGTAGCCCCGTGAATATCATGACATTAGAAAGCAATTCTCTCTTTTTGTGTATTTAAAATGAACCTTAATTGATGTGATGCTGATAAACATGAAGGTCCTACTAATTACTTTTAACAAAACTTTGAATCATATCCATATTTATTCATCCAAACTTTCTCTTTTCCAGGTGCGTCTGGATGACCGCATCCTCCAGACAGACAGAGGCCTCCTGATCCGCCGTGTCCTGAAGAGAGATATCGGCATCTACCAGTGCCACGCCATGGAGTACGGCTTCACCCAAACTTTACTGGGAATCACCTTGGAAGTGGTTCCCTCCATATCCTCCTCAGCCTCCAATCTTCCTTCTGATGCCCCTGTGCGCAGCGGAGGTGGGCCAGCCATGACCAATCAAAAGCTTTGGTACCGGGACTTCATGCAGCTGGTGGACCACCCTAACCTGAGCACTGTTGACCAGATTTGCGAGCAAGTTTGGGCGCGCAAGAACGCCGGCAGTGACCAGGTGGATAAGACCTTTCCTCCTGCCGGCAAGGAAGTCCTGTCCGCAGGCCCCGCCGTCCGCCCGGCCAATAAGAAGTGGAAGCATCTTCAGGAGATAAGGAAGGGGAGAAACCGCCGGACCCACGATGGGAAACCAAACCCTCGTGCACCGCGCAGCGCAGGGGAGTAACAACGTAGAGCAAAAGATGGAGGGAGAAAAGAATGACTGAGAAAGGAGGAGTAGACAGAAAGAGACTGAGAGACCGAGAACTTCTGGAGGTGTCACACATACAGACAAACACACACTCACACACACAGACACACAGACACACACTCACACACTCACACATACATACAGCACCTCCTGCATTGTGTATATTTATCCATGGATGCCCCCACTATATTGTACACCCATCCCTGAGTCCTCGTCCCTCTGGCCAGCCCCTGCATGAGCTGCCTTACTGCCCAAATTGATTCTGCACGATCCCTTTACACTGTTCACTAGCATAGTTAAGTGTTGAAGCAGGAAGTCAACGCATCTTTATCTGTGGGCAATAAACATACACGCCTTTACCACTGACTGTTTATGGAGCGCAGGAGGATGACCCAGCAACGTTTGTCTCTACACACCAATACTAACAGTATGAACACCTACTCTATACACCACTTGGAAAAAATTACCAGCCCCAGCGTTTCATATGAAACCTCCTCGTCTCCTCTTTTTCTCGTTCGAACATTTAATACCAATGTAGAAAAATGGTGGACTTTTAAATGTGTTGTGCATAATGGAATAGAATGGAGAAACGTGACAACTGGAATACACAACCAGGTGAAGTCTGGAAACACACATACAGATTAATGTCCATTTGCACATGCATGCATGCAGATAAAACACTTTTAAAAATATTGTTTCTATATGGATCAATGAATTGATCAACTTCCTGTGGTCCTCCCAGTGCACATATTTCCACTAAACCCACTCTTCACATGGTTTTGTGTGCAGAGTGTACAATGCAGGTCACAGATGAGGTAGAGACGTGTGGGGCAGCCTGTGGAATGGAGCAGCGTGGTGTAGACTGTATCGTAACTTTCTTTCTTAGCGGTTTCCTTAGGCACACTGAGGCTTTGTGGCAGCAGAATAAATCTCAGAACACAATGCAGTTATGGTTCAAGAGCAGACGCAAGTGGCCAGATATGATTATATAACTTCACTGGTCCAAACCACTAGAAATTGAGGGGTGGAAAAACTACTAGCATTTCATGATGTGAGCGAAAGATGAGATGTTTACAGTACAGTACAGAAATCAGTCTCCAAAGTCCAAAAAGTCCAGACCTGGATTACATCTAAAATAAGTGAATTATGTTTTATGAAGCATCTCTAATATACCTAGTTGTTACAATTAGCGATGAAAGAGTTTTGACAAGATCCAAATCTTCACAATAAACTTCAATATTTATTGCTTTTATTCAACTGTGTTCAATATTTAGTGTGTTGATATTGAGACTGACGAGCGCAGTGGTTTGGGTGGACACCATTAAAACAATGAGGATGAGGAGGAGCTTAGTGGACTCCAGGTTTGACAACCCACGTTTCTGGGCTTCAGTACAGTATATATATTTGCATGATATTTATGAGTGAAAATATGATTTTTTTTTTCTTTGTATACTAAGTGGTACTTCTACTCCGAGCTCTTTTTCACTGTTCTTGCATATGTTTGTTTGTGATAAATACATATATGCAAATATTATGAAAATGACAGATATGTTAACTCCTCATTCAGCACAGAAAGCTGTTTCTGTGCTACCCACAATGCATTTTTGGCAACACCTTCCATTTGACTGCAGTCACTGTTGTGGTCACTAGTGTACAGTCATGAATATTGACTTTTGCTGCTTAACAATATCATCTCGTCTTAATGGACAATTAGTACAATAGGTCTTCCTTCTCTCTGTCTTCAGTCCAATCTGTCTGTGTATTATCTGTAAAGAAACTTTGTTTGTTGGTTGTCTGTGGTAACATGGTGTGTGTAGCCTGTCCCCTAGTGTCCATTGTGTGTAACGGCTCAGATGAAAAGCTTACTATTCTTTATTATATCATAGTCTATCGAAATGAGAGAAAGCAACTGGCCTTGTAAGATAGAACATTCATATACGTTTGACATTCTTGAAATCTTAATATGATTTTAAAGACGGATACATGGTTTCATTTGTGCTGCTGCTGTACATTTCTCAAAAGCGTAATGGCTTCAAATGATTTCAAGTATGTGCAGACAAAAAAATATTTTTTAATAGTGTCCTTATTTCCACATTAGGCTTTGTCCATGAATTCACATGATAATGTCCTTTGGATCAAAGGAGGCAGCACAATCTGGGCCTGTGAGTGGATTTTAGATGAACTGAGTCGTCTTTATTTAAATAGCTTCTTTAGAGAGATGTAACTAACTCATTAAACTGATCTGAACTGACTGACACCTGTAAAAGGGACACTCTGAATTTTGACACCACGTTTAGGAAAAGGAATAATTGCAAAAGGAGACAAAAAAAACAAAACTGAGTTTAATCGAAGGCAGATGTTGTTGGTCCATCTGTGTTTCATCACAGCTATTAAGCCGAGGCTACTAATAAACTAAATGGAGATTAAACATTATAAGTCACGGATTTGTTTTTCTTTTAACTAAACATGATTTACATCAGTAGTGATGTCAGACTTGACTGAGTCTCCCTTTTAAACCAGCTGTTGTTTTGTCCTCTTTTAAAATTGCATGACCGATGTTAGTGGGTAATCGCGTTCGACAATGGTGTGGTGGCAAGAAAGAGCAAAAGAGAGAAAGAAAGCACAATGTTGA